GAATAAATTCCAAACTCTATTGTGCGTTAGTTGCGTACATGGTAAAGAAAAGAAGAAATTTCGCCTCGACTGTAGTGATAAAAACGTGAGGATCTAGTGTTTGTTATTTGTTTATTCAGCTGTATGTGCTTTCATACCTTTTCCACGCAGGAAAGCAAACTTCCATCCTTTCAAAGTTGTTATTTGTACTAGGTTTATCTGAGAACGTAACGTTGGACTGACCTCTATATCAACCTACTCCCATCAGTCGCATCAAATTGTATTAATTGTAAATTATAAAAAAACATATGGTCAATACCATACGATTCCTTTTTTATTTGTTTGTCTTCAAAACCAGCATACTTTACTTGGAGCAGTTGTAAGACAAATAGTTTGTAGAATTCTTGTCAAAGCCTACTAATGGTTAAGGTGCCATACCGGATGATGAGGAAAATTCGGACGACGGAGCCGCAGATGAGATTGATGCTATCAATGACGAGACTTTTGGAGATGATGTGCATGTGCCCCTCGACAGCGAGTTAGAAGACTACGCAGCTCAGGTTCGTTAGCTTTACCGTCCACTTCCTGTCATCTAGTATTCTTCGCATTTCAGACGGCCTGTCTTCGACTTGACGATGCAGGACCCTGGGACACTCCTGGTTGTTCTAAAGAGCCAGCACCAGATGCATCCAATGTTCCTCTACCGGACTTTGACGTTTTTGGAACATCCTCTTTTTCTAGCTTCGGTAGTGAAACAATGGTGAGTTCAATATTTGACCACTATCGATTTTTGTTTCTGAAAAACTGTGAAATTTTCATATAAGAATTCTCAAGATGTGCAGTAATTTTCGTTTTCCAACGATTATCGATGCTTTTGACTGCATATTGACGTACCGCCATTATGCAGGCAGACCGACGTTCACTTTTGAGTTTTCATGGCCGCATATGTCTATCTGCCATTAGCCTCTTGCTCTTTTCATACAATCTGCTTTTCTAGGCTATTGTGTGCTTCAAGATATTTTAGGCAAAGTTGGATTCATTATGGAGTCAGCAATCGCATAATTTGTATGATCTATGGGAAGAGCAGAAGAACAATTCTCGTAGCATAAACTCGAATCAATCGGCATTTGTTCAAGTAAATTTTTTCTTTCTCTTTTCACCGGATGTTTTTCACGGTTTTTGATTGTTATAGAACGAGGTTCCTGCAGTAGAACAGCAGAAACCTCCGAGCGGGTTTCCATTGATAGGAGGGATATCTCAAGCGTTCGACAATGCCGCGCGATCAAACGCTTATATACAACACCGTTCACCAGTCTTACCTGCAATGCCTCGTGGTTCTACGGTAAGACTTTCTCATTTTTTCTGTGTTGCAAGCATCATCAGTTTTGTAGATGCTTCGAGTGGTTATCTGTGCAGAACTTCTCGACTTATTGCCATAAATTTCTGTGCGAAATAATTGATTTAGTTGGAAGACCTCGAACGAGGGCATCTGCAACGACCGCCGAACGTAAGCAAGGTTTCGAACATGAACGCCATGCCGCCTGTTGCCGTGAATGTAGCTGACCTTGAGCGTCGATTCATTGAGGAATCTTCAGGAATGCCACCACCAGCAAATCAAATGATTCCATCTTGTAGTCCTTCCCCGTTTCCACCTCCATTGCCATCACCACACACCCAACTTCCTCCTAGAATGGTATGAAGAAGTTTAAATAGTTGCTCGACTGTTCGTAAAGGTCTGTGATTTCAGGCACCCAATGCGCCTCCTAGTTTCGGAGGAGTTCCACCAATGCATATACCACCCCTTTTGCCCCCGTTCCATCCTATGATGCTTCCATTCGTACCATTCTGGCTTGAGCATCTCGCTGGTCGTGCGCCATGTCTTCCACCAGGATGCCCACCAGTTCCTCCTCTTTTACGAATGTTCTTCGATACTGTGAAGGTAACCAGTGATTACAATTTCTTTAGTTATATAAAACACGCTGACTGAATGCCTTTTTCCCTTCAAAGGATCCAATGGTCGTCATGGATATGATAAGAGCTTCAAACGCAGGAATGGTGCCTCCTCCATTTCCAGCGCCGCCACAAACCTTTGACAGACGCTCTCAGGTTAGAGTTCATCATGTTTTGAGGTGTACATTCTCGTTGTTGTTGGAAGTGTCGTTTTGTTCCGCAGATTAATGAGGCGTTATTGCTGCATTTATAAAAATAGCTTGTGATGCATTTAGTGGCAACGAAAAGCACCTGGAATGCCGTCTGGGCGCACAATAGAAGACCTTGCATTTGACCAGTTCGCAGGCTACATGTCTTGTAAAGAAAGAGAATGGCTCGTAAAAATTCAAATTCTGCAATGTCAAGGAACTGGCAACCCGTACGATGATGACTACTACTATACAGTACGTTTCTACCAGTGCCATCATTAACTTTTCGTAATCAAAGTGATTATTCAGAGCTGGCGAGAGAAACAGATTGCGAAAGGATGGCGACCGAGTAGAGTAGTCACTCCTCAGATGGCGTCTTCAGATAAAGTCAAGGTAATACTTTGTGGAGATATTCTTGTGATTTTCAAAAATCCATTGTGCTCTAGGAAAGTGAGCGAAGGTTGAAGGCGTCTGAATGGCTCGCGAAGTCATATCGATGTGTCGAGAGAACCAAAAGAAATAGTGCCACTGAACGTCAAATTCGCTGGCTCCCTTGGCTTACCATCCAAATCTTCAACCAGTAATCCAAGACATGTAAGGCACATTTTTGGCCAGAGCTATTGTTGCTCAGTTCCATCCATTTTTCCTTTTTTTCCTCGATTTCTGTGTGTTTCAGTTGATCAGCGTTGAACACAGTCTAGACAATGCTGATGAAGATGCATCACAACGGGCAGGTAGACAGAGGAAGTTACGAACGCTGCTTCTTCGTCTTGAGTCTGCGTTGGCTTTACTTATTGAATGCCAGGACTTACGTGTTCGAATGCGAAACTGTACCCAAAGCAGGTTGGTGTGATAATCATTACTGTTTTA